AAATGTATGGATTAAATAGCTCATATTGGTTTCGTATTTCACCTTTCCTCCAAAAAATTTCAAGGTGAATTTAATGATGCCATAGAAAATAAAAGCTTCCAGAGATATTTTCTTCCTATCCATCGTAGCTTTGGCTCGTCGAATGTACTCCAATGGATCCTTCTCTGGTTTCACCCACAAAGGAAATATAATTGTTCCAATGAAGTTTCCCCATCTACACTTTGAACCCTTCGCCATCATATCAGCCAAATCCTACATTTCCATATTTTATCAAACTTTTACATTCTTATTAATTAGATATATTGTTTTTGTATGATTGTAATTTATGTTGATTATCACCTCTATCTTTGTTGCTGGTCTTAAGTTTATAGCTACAGCACCACGAACACGGAGTTTTTCTACGATCTTTTTCTTCTCGGCCGTTGATCCATCTGTCGATCGATAATGTGATCAAATATTATAACTATGAGTATATATTGATGTTCTAATATTAGTACAGTATCTCGTTGAAAACCTAACACTAAAAAAATGGTAAAAAAATAAGTTTGAAATATAATGTTTTAGTTGCTGAATAGTTACACCTATTTTTACACCAAGAAACCAAAAAAAAAAACTTAGTAAAAACTTTAGAACTATTTGAAAGTATTTAAAATTATAGAAAATATTGGCAAAATTTTCATTTATAAACTTTATTTAACAAATTTTAGATTTAAAGCGAGTAACTAATACTATGATGGTACTATGTAGTATAGTGGTTGAGTAAGCTCTGATTGTCATAACTCATAACCTCAGATGGTACCATTATGTGATGTGACTAGATATCGATTAAATAATTTCCATCGTTCCTACTATCTTCATCTATTTGAAAACATAAATTAATGAAACATAAGCTTGACTCTATGCTTAAAATTATTATTTAAGGTTAATGATATATACTTATAAAATTAGAAGGAATTTGAATTTACCATATTTGCTACTCAAATATCTTGAAAGACCTGCTTGTGTCATTCCAAGAAGAACATCATTCACCTTCTACAAAAAAGAAAAAGAATGTTATGAAGTTGTTAGTGTACGTAAATGAATGATCAATATAAAGCAAAATAACAATGATTTTATACCATGTTCATTGTGTCCTTCACTAACTTGACATCCTCAAAACTTATTATCCGATGGACAACCTTCCAAGATTGAAATCCATCACTCGGATTACCCATAAGAGGGTTTTTGGTATCTCGCAAAAAGCATATTGTAAGCATTAACTTGGAAAATTCAACAATAGTGGTGAAGGTGACTCTTATCATAAACCAAAACCCAACAAACAACCACCAAGCCATGGAATCAACGGGTTTCTTTGTAGCCGTGGTAGTAGAAATTAGCGCGTCAGGGTCTGATGTTTTTCGTGAACAAGCAAGTAAAAGTGACATAAGAGACATTCCATCACCAATTGAGTGATGTATTTTTACTATAGCCAAAGATTCTGCTTTTGATGTCTTTATGTTGAGTAAATGAAATTCCCAAAGAGGTTTGGACATGTCCATTGGAATATTAGCAATGTTTGATGTATAGTCTTCTATGAAATGATCAGGATTTTCAATGTTGGAATATTCAGGATCTGGCACAATAACATGATCTTCTACTCGAACTTTAACAGGAATCCAGACCGGGTCTCCTTTTCTCTTATAATCTATCTCCTACGAAAGAAAAAAAAAAAAAGAAATATGACCCATAGGCATAATTTAGAACTAAATTACATGTGACTACATACATGAAAAGGGAAAGGAATGAATATAAATTCTTTGATACTACGTGTAGATAAATTACATATACCATGTTTTTTTTTTTTGTAAAAGACATAAACAATGTTTTTAATATAACAATATGCATGCATACGTGTAGAATACATGATATATGTTACCATTTTGCTAGAGAATCTGGGAGCATTGATCAATGAGTTGTTGATGCCTTCAACAAAGGCCGATGGGTTGCATCTAACTTTAAACCCAAAAGTTATCACAATGAAGAAATTTGGCGAACTTAGCATATGTGACATTGGGCTAAGTGGCTCCATTGGCGTTGTCTCGATCTCTTCTCTCTCCATAACATTTTCCGTTTTCATAGTTGGTTTAAGGATTCTCCAACCTTTGTAGTGGATACTTGAATTATATAGCATTGATTTCTTTGTCGTTATCTATTTTTTTTTATTATTAAATGAGGGTTGGTGTAAGTTAGGGTTTTGTGGTTGCTCTCTTCGTCGATTTCTTAAGTAGTTTATAGTTTATTCCTTAAAAAAAAAATCATTTTCATTATAAATTTCATTTATATGTTTAACAGAATTTTCTTGACAAAATTTAAATTAATGTACTAACTAGAAAGAGAATATCATTAAGTATATGATGTATTAATGAAATGTAAAATATGGATGTGCTTCATTTAGAAAGAGAAAGTGCAAACTTGGATACAAGATCATGATCAAAGAGGATTGGGTCATGATCTTGATTACAATACATGTAATCATGGTGAGATGACTCTAATACTTTAATTGTATGCCCCTGACCACTCATATACTCATATATGAGGGCTCCTTATAACGGATAGCTTAACCAAATTATCTAATATATATACCATTTAGCGGCCAAAATGAAGTATCCTTTTTTTTTTTTGAATAACATGAAGTATCCTTATCTTCTTTTTATCTTTTTTTTTTATAAACCCTATCAGCTGATCTAGTCAGCCCCGATATGAACGTACCGAGATGCTACAGAGTGGACTACTCTCGTAGTTCAACGATTCAATGGACACCATGAGTTACAAGCGGATTCGGGTCGAACGGGCCATGAGATTCATGAGATCCATAAGATCCAGAATTGCGCCACCACACTGCATGATCCGAGTTTGGAGTGTCTTCCGACTAATGTCAGGGGTAGTCAGGCCGCCTGCATTTCTGACTACGAGGTAAACCGATTGGCCCAACTGACAGACTTCCCAAACAAATATGTTTTTGTTTTCAGAAAAAATCAAACTCGGGTCTGGAAGTTTCTCCCTTCACCAAAACTTTCCTACCACTAGACCACGTATGCTTGGACAAGTATCCTTATCTATCGAGTTGTTTGTATTTTTGTAAGATCGACGGATCCAAAGACATCTACAGCTAACCCAAGAAAGCAATAAATAAAATTAAAATTTGGTGGTGATACAGGATCCGCCTAAGTTAACCTACATGTAATGCTATATAGTTTGTCTAATATAGATTACATACAGTGCTAGATTTTTTTGAATTATGCTAGATGATATGTCTATTAACAATCGTGGCCCAATACATTTCTATACAAATATATCACAAGATGCTTAATTTTCAATCCAATTCATTTTTGATAATTCGACATATTTCGGAAAGCAATATAAACTTTAGATGTTTATTTTCACAAAATATTTAGTTGTTATCTTTCCTTGTAGTTTTTTTTTTTTGGGAGAAATTACATTTCATATGACACTAACAAATCGAGAAATGATCCATTTTTTTATAACAAAAAACAATTTTCACATCTCATATTTTATATATTAGAGTAATCCAAAATGATTAAATTAAGGATAAACCAGAAAATTGATTGCCCTTGTTAATATGTAAATTTAGTCGACAAATACTTTTGAGTTAATATATATTGAACCAACACTAACACTTAAGCAAATACTATTGGCTGACATAGGCCAACATGTGGAAGCATACTAATAGAATGTGAGTCCCTTAGCACTGTTCAAGCTACAAGTATGTTTTTTTTTTGGTGTATATTGTTGGCATGTTTGGCCATGGCTATTAAATTCAGTTAAAAGCTTTTTGTTGTGGGTCAAAGATGAAGAGATTATGTTTTATAAAAGTATTTCTAACTACAACCCACGTAATGTATGATGTTAACTACAACCTACATAATGTATGATGTAGACATAGAAAAACGATAAGTATTAATTTTAATTGTGTAACAAATTTAGATATAGACAACATTTATAAATACACGTTATGGTTGATTGATGCATTAGAAGAGACATTAATGAGAGAATTTATAAAGTTGTGGTTTGAAAATCAGCTTTCGTGGCATCAAAACATTAAATATAGGGTCTCACTGTCACTAGTATATCACATAAATAACTAAATAATTTCATAATTTCTAGCAGAAAGATAGTTTTAGTAGATTAATCACATATTATTTTTTTTCTAATTTTAATTTTAACACTTTAGTAGTATATAACAGAATCATGTTTTTAAAAAGTAGAAACTTAAACAAGTGATTTACCACCATTCTATCTCAGAATTACTGATTTTTCGTATTAGGTTTTGAAAAAAAAATAATAATAAAAAAAAAATAAAGATTTATTGGCTCCTTGGTTTTAACTTTACAAAATACTCTTTTATTAACAAAACTAAACAAAAACAAAAATAACTTCACTGGTGGTACTAGGTTTTAACCTAGATGTGAACAGTGGAATTTGGTGTCGTGCTTTATTCGTTGTAGGTTTAAGATAAACTACGTATGCACTAAGAACTCTGCTCATTTCTGAAATTGAGTGATATCATGGATTCTAATCATGCATCTAGTGATATATAATCTTCAAAAGAATAATAGTTTGGTTTTTTTTTTTTTTGAAAAACATAGAATAATAGTTTGGTTAATAATTTATATTTAAGAATATGCTATTCTAGTATTGGGATGGTGAGGAAAATTTATTTCGAGTAGTTGAAAGAATTAAGATTTAAAAGGTACATCTTAAAATCGACCACACAATTCATCTAATTAGGAGTCTGATCAGATCTTTTGGTCCATAAACATTATGAGTACGTGTTCAAAAATATTTATGAACAATTATCATGTCGGCAGCAAGGAAATGAATGTTGTACCTACGAAGTTACTACCTACCATATTAAATTTTCATACCAAATATTGTTGGTCTCATATAAATTATTTTTTGTATTATGCGATTTTGAATTGAACTCAAACTAATTTCCAAAATTTGTGAAAGAGTCGGGTATTATTGTCACTGAAAACATACATAAACTGTGGTTGAAATCACAATGGAAAAGTTTTGAATCTTAGTCTTGTAACATCAAAGATAATCCCTTCGACCAGTATTCCACCTTGAGTCGATTGGTTTAATAAGATGGTATAGCCAAGTAAAATGTGACACGTAAAAATCAGTCCGCATACGCTTAGTCCACAATCAAGCAACATTTAATTGTCTTGAGTTTGGTGATAAAACTAGAGTCCTAAGCATGAATATTGGCCCCTCCTCGGGTCATAGGAACGACTCGAATTATCTCGGGTACTAGATTAACATCAACCCTTGATCTACACCCACTTGTAAACCAAATTCTTGCATCATAAGGGCCAACATACATCGAGCTTGAAACGCCTATTGAGGTCTTTAATTAATACGACCTTGTAGGATCTACCACTTCCTCCAAATTTCACTCATGATCGGTTATGATCAAACAATTTAAATCGAACCAAAAGAAGAAGAAAGCAAAATAAATTTAGGAATCAGGATTCATAGCCCGAGCTGGCTTATAAATGATCGAGTAAATGCATCACAAATTTTGGGATTGATACTCTCATAATAATCTAAGATCAAAACAAATAGAAACTTACAAGCAATAACCTACTGTATAATAATGTAAAATATATGAAAATTATAAAGAAGATCTGTTGTTGAAATTAAAAAGAATTTATAATAGATAAATTTTGAGTTTTTGAGTTTCCATTTAAACACTATAGAAACATAAATGAGGCGAGAAACCCGTGTACTCACAGTGTTCTGGACAGGACTTGATAAACATTTGATTATAAGAGGAATTCCATCAACCTCAACAATGGTAGCAGCATTTTTTGGCTCTGCACAAAAACAGGAAAGAGCATTTGGTTTGATGATCAGTAATTGCAATTATGGTAACAACAAGAAACAGTTTAGTATCAGACTACATTCATAATATTCCAGGCTTATTGCCGGCACAAGCGTTGCATATTCCTCCTATCCCAAATTCCACAAGCTGGCCTATACATGAGTAGATCCTAACCAATCGAAGATGCTCTTCATCGAGGTGCTAATTGGGCAGCTTTCGAAAAATTAAAAATTGGCATTAGTCCAGAGGTACAAATCAAGCCAATATGAAGTTGATATCCGACTTCCAAAAAACTAGACCCAAATAATAATACCCTAAGAAAATGGGCTGCGATGAGAATGCCTATTGCAAACTTCACAAGTGTAATGGTCACTCAACTAAAATTGCCGTAAAGTAAAGAAGCTACTGGCATGCGAACTCCATGACATAGATCTCGAACAAGAGAACTACATGTATATATCCTCTCAGTATCTAAGTTGGATAAAACAGAAAATTTTCATTATAAAATTTAAATAATAGTTCTTACGTACTAAATAAATTATGACATTAATCAAAAAAGGGATTAATTGAAATTTAAATCTTATCATACAAGATAAAACCATGCACACAATCTTCTTTTTATTTGAATCTAATGAAAATTTTACAAGCTATACATATGCTATAACCGACTAGCAAACTTACACTCTTCACCATAATTTATTCTTTTAGTTACATATTAATATTATTCATTGAAAGTATAAAATTTCCATATCTATAGAGTGCATAGTTGGGATATCGGTTATAGCATAAGAAAAAAAAATTGTATATATTTACTTGTAATCCAATGCTTGCACTTCTTGCGATATCGGATGGCCAAAATACACTTAGGAAGAGTATTATTGGTTTGTGATTTAAATAGAGTTTAAGTGACTTTAAATGATATGTAGAATTTGTTGTTATCAATCAAGATTTTCTTAGTTTGTTGAAGTTTGTGTTATTAATTTAAGATTTGTAAAAAATAATCTAAAATCTTTAGAAATCTGGAGTTATTGGATTCATACTTTTATAAAGCCATTTAAAATTTTGTGTTATTCAATTACAACAAAAGAATCTATGATTATTAATGAATTAAATTATTATGTGATTGGTTTGTGACTTTTTACACTTTTCTTTACAAAATAAAATCATGAAAAATTAATACAATCAAAATAGAGAGATTGTTTGGAAAACTTTACAAGATTATGAAATACTAATGGGTCTCAATACTAATCAACAAGATTATAGAAAACTCTCTAACAATAGTTTAGAATCTTTCATTTGTTTACTTTCTATGATTTTATTAAAGTCATCAAAATTCCATGTAAATTAGGAACCAATAACACTCCCTTATTTCTTCATCGAGACCTTTCACATTTGAAATAGTCATTGTTGTGTGACCAAACAATGACCTTTCAAAAGTAAAAAGGTGATCGTATTTCAATTTTTTTTTTTTTGGGTCAAAATCATATTTCAAACTTTTCAATGTGTTAATGCGTTTTAAAATATAAGTAAAATTAAATGCATGGTATAATAAAACATTATATAACTCTATTTATAAAAATTTAAACAGGAAAATAAAATTTAAAGTTACACATTAGTTTCTAAAAAAAATATACTACCAAGAACTTTATTTATTATTAAGTTTTTAGTTAAGAAAAAATAAAAGATTACTAAACTCAATTTAAAATTTAAACAAGAAGAAATTGTAAAGGTCATACTTTTTGTGAAATTATAAAACCAAAGATCTTAAAAGTCTTAAATATTATAATTCATCTTCTTAGAAAATATATAAAAAAAAGTGATATGTAAGTCGTTATAAGAACTGATCTATAATTTGTGTAGCATATCTCGAAGAAAAGTATATTCCCAAGTGAAACTACAACTTTGTAACATGATCAAAAAGGAAAATAAGTTTGAGATTTCATCATTTGAATCAAATAATGTTTTACACAAATTTGGTGGAAACAACCAAAATAAAGTAAACTAAGTTTTTTTTTATAATACGATGTTTATATTATGAGAAATTGTTAAAAATGCCTCTTTTTCAATACCCCTTTTCAAAAATGCCCCCTTTGAGAGTCAATTTTTAAGTTTGCCCTCTTTTAATTTTTAATGACCATTTTACCCTTATTTGAAACAAAATTAGGTCCACAAAATACAAAATATTTTTTGGCGGGAAAAGTGATCCCGCAATTTTCCCGCCAAAACACTTGTAAAAACTTGTAAAACCTTTAAAATATCTTGTAAAATTTTCCCGTAAAAAAGTTTCCCGCCAAAAAAAAAGTGATTCCGCAATCTTTTTGGCGAAATTTTTTTGGCGGAAAAAATTTACAAGGTATTTTAAAGGTTTTACAGAATATTTACAAGTGTTTTGTAAGGTTTTACAATGTATTTTAAAAGGTTTTACAAGGTACTTATAAGATTTTATAAGGTATTTATAACTTGTAAAACCTTATAAAAAACTTGTAAAACCTTATAACTTGTAAAACCTTATAAAATAGCTTGTAAAATCTTATAATATCTTATAAATACCTTATAAATACGTTGTAAAACTTTTTAAAATAGATTGTAAAACCTTATAAATACCCTGTAAAAAACCTTTAAAATACCTTGTAAATTTTTCCCGCCAAAATTTAATGCCAAAAAAATTGCGGGAAAAAGTTTTGCCAGAAAATTTTACAAGGTATTTTAAAGGTTTTACAAGTTTTTACAAAATCAAATTTGTAATTTTGATGTGTGCACATTCTCATGTTTTCCTTATATATTTGTGATATCTTTTATTAAAAAAATGGTAATTTAGTCATTTTGTACATAAAAAAGGTATTTTTAAAAATGGACAGCCAAAGGGGGCATTTTGAAAAGGGGTATTGAAAAAGGGGCATTTTTGTGAGTCTCCCTTATATTATATTACAAAATTAACATCTCAAATAACAAAGAGTGGTATAGTAAAGAGTAAATTCATGTTGTTTAAGTGTTGGATGTGTAAATATTCTGAAAAACAAAAACAATAATATTTTCATGTAGAAACTTTTTTTTATCATATTTAGACTTTTTAAAATAGTCGGCTATGTAATTAAAAAAAAAAACTAGTTTTCTCGAAAAGATATCAAAATTAATATTTGTAGATGAGACACAATATAGATATTCGTCAAATCTTCTAAATTACAATATAGTACTAAACCTACGCAACGTGTAGGTCATTATCTAGTTTTGGGAATAATTTGGTTTGATTGTGAGATAATTCATGCAATATTAACTGTTATGTGTTACATTTTGTATATTTATAAATTCACCTGAACATATAATTCATTTGAGAATTCCATTTTTCCAATAAAAAGAATAATTAAATTTCAAATTCTTACGAAATTCGCCCTTAATTTTTTACAAGTTGCTAGTTTTTTTGCCATGTTTTGTAGTTATCATAGTTTAATAAGATATGAAAGAAAAAAATCATAGTTTAATAATATTATTAAAATATCAAATTGAAAATATATTTTTATTAATTTAATTTAATTATCTTGTTGATTTTTTTTAATTTAACTATTTTTTACAAGACTTATAATTAATTACTTTTTTGAAAAATTTAGCTAAATTCAACTATTACCATTTAAATTATAAACTGTTCAAACATATACCAAAGGATTTATTCGGTTGGATTCAACCATGACCATTTAGAATTATTATTTCATGTTTTTGTTTTTTGTTTTGTTTTTGCATAGAACTCAAATGCACACCACTCCATCGAATAAGTGAAATATGAGAAGAAGTTAACCTAGTTATAATAAAAATAATCATTATTTTATTGTATTTTAAAATCTTTATATGCTCGACATTTATCTTACCACAATTTTATTGAGATTATGTCATCTAACATATCAATAACAATCATCGGGATTGCAACCCGTTAACTTTTTATTGTTAGCATTAGGACCAATCGTTGACGTATTATGAACTTGATGATCTATGGGAGGAAGACAACCACAGTCAGGATCTCTGTCACCAGGGCAATGACAAAGATATGGTTCCGGCTGTACTTTTCCTAGCGCTTCAGATTCTGATGAAAAATCTGCATGCAAAAGATTTAAATATTAAGTAATGTTGCAAAAAAACACAATATCTTGAATTCAAAACTATGGTGAGTGTATATTCGTACAAGATAAAACAATAAGAACAAATACGAAGTGAATGATAAGTTTCGTCATAATCTTTGAGATATTAAGAATGAATAGACTTTTGTGTGGTGTGAATAAATTGATCTATATATATATATAATTTTGTAAACTAGATAAGAACGTATGAAAGAATTAGGAAACTTTATTATATACTCCCTCCGTTTCACAAAGAGTGTCGTTTTAAGGTTTTATTTTTGTTTCACAAAGAGTGTCGTTTTAGGTTTTCAATGCAAAATTTAATGATTTTTTTATGTTTTATGACTATTAGTATTCTGCAGATTGTTTTACTATTGGGCAGATTGTGTTTAAGTATATAGGTAATGATGTTTTTGTTTAGAAAAAACAAAAAATTTAATGTTTTCTTAATCTGTGTGCAAAACTCTAAAACGACACTCTTTGTGAAACAGAGGGAGTACTTAATTGACTTCATAAATTCATACTTTCTATAAATATTAGACTTTTATTATGTAATATGCAGAAACTTTGACTAGTTTTAAGGCTAATTAATTGAAAAGAAATGTTTTTAATTTTATAGTAGAAGCTAAGAGGGGATTTTTTTTAGCTAATTAGTCCTAAAAGTAGTCAAAGTTTATGCATGATACATGCAAAATAGTCAAAGTTTCTACATATGATATAATAATATTCAAAGTTTCTGCATATTACCATATTAAAAATCTGGTGGTTCAGAAAAACAAAATGAGGCATTTTAGCATCAACGCAAAAATATTAAAGAACTATATTGAACGAAATTGTCGATTCAATATCGTTGAATGGAAGCATATTCAGTTATATTAATTGATGCAAAGTACATATAACTTCATATTTTGATACATGGTTTGGATATTCGTTAGAATGACATTATAATTTTTTTTTTCTTTGTCAAACTGACATTCCAAAGCTTAATATGAATGCTTCTAGTTAGTTTCCGCAGAAGAACGTATTCAAAGTGTTTCGCATTGCAATTTTAGGTTTTGTTTTTTTTCAGGTTGAGATTCTACATGAAGTTAAATTATCCTTGGGAGCAGAATTTGGTCTCATAAATCGCTACGTCAGTATTAACATCAATAAAATATAGAATGTACTAAATAGCTTCCGTGTGTCTCTTAAAGTTGGTAATTCTTAAGAGAAATTGTTAAAAATGCCCCTTTTTCAATACCCCTTTTCAAAAATGCCCCCTTTGAGAGTCCATTTTTAAGTATGTCCTCTTTTAATTTTTAATGACCATTTTACCCTTATTTGAAACAAAATTAGGTCCACAAAATACAAAATATTTTTTGGCGGGAAAAG